AATTATACCCGTTCACCCGCACATACTGACATCGATTATTCAGAAAGCATGGGAAAAACCGAGTGAGTTTGGAGGTGAAGCCAATAAACGCCAAATTTTCTAACAATTTGCCGTTGTCGATGAGGTCGAAGGCCTTTCTGAAATCGAAGTATGCCGTGTCTACTTGTTTGTAACTGTCCATCTCCTTATATATGTAGTCTACATGTGCAATTAAGTTCGTAGTAGTAGAACGAGCCTTACGGAAACCGTATTGGCTATTGTGTAACAAATGACCAACCTGATTATTAATATGTTTGCTGAGAATAGACAATTTGGCAAACACTGATAAGACAGCAATTGGCCCAAATTCTGATACGTTCATACTCCCATCAACTTTCGGCACTGGGGTAACCCTGGAACGTTTCCAAATTTGAGGGTACCTAGCATTAGCTAGTGAAAGGTTAAAGAGATGCAATAGAGGCCCCTCCAGTACAGCTATACAATCTTTAGCCAAGAAACTAGGAATACCATCAGGCCCACTGGATGAACGCGGTTTGAGACGTTTCACAGCCTTCTTCAAATCCCTCGTATCGATGGCGTTTATAGATACGGACGTAATGTCCTGGTTAAAATGTGCAGCTTGAACATCCTTAATAGGATCCAAAACGGGTATATTCGGATGAAACACAGAGCTGAAAAATTCTGCAAAGGCATCAGCAGCAGCCTGCCCCTCTACTTCAGTATCCTTCTACATATAAGTATCCGTACGTCTTTTACCTCCTGATTTTTTGTCTTTAACGTAATCCCAAAATTTGACTGGATCGTTAATAATATTACGTTGTACCGTTTTTAGGTATTGCCTATATTCCCTATCTATTAGTTTTTTTACCTGCTCCCTATAATACTTAAACATTTGCCTATTGAATTCTTTACCTTCCTTTTTATACTTCTTAAGATGATAGTATTTACTTTTAATATTATTTATAATTTCAGCAGTATACCATTTAGGATATACATATCGGTGATTAGTGGTAGTGCGCAAAGAAACGGGTACAAAGAGATTTATACAGTTGTAAAAAGGTTATAGTAGTTAAAGTTATAATATGTGTTGTGTGTTACATTTTATGAGTTATGTGTAATGCATTTTGTGTGTATGTAACTATGTGAAACGTTATAAAATTAAATAAAACAAATTGTATGCAATATATTATTTTTTATTTCTTTATAAAACTTCTATTTAATCTAATACAAAACACTGTTCGAGTTTAAAGTTACATCGGACTCTCTCATTAGATCATCAATAATAACGAGATGTGGGTTTTCAGTTTTCACCATCAAACATATTAAGATTTGGAATTCCTTGGTGATAGTTAACATTTGGTAAATTATATAAAGGTTGCATTTCATCAAAGTACCATGTGATCTGATTAAAATCACGATTATATATTTCTGTAACTGATTTTATGAAATTTGTTACAAAATTTGGCTTCCCACATCCACTTAGTCCTGCCACAATAGCAGTAAACGGATGTAAAAAGTGAAACATTACACACGTCTAAAGTTCTAAGGGGTGAAATAAAAAATGAAAGTGTTGGTGTAAACAATTAATATATACTGGAAATCAAACAAAATTATAATACTTTAAACAATTACAAATCAGTATTTTGCTTTGTATTCTTGAATATTAAAAATTCTATCATTCGTCGTCAACATTTTTAAAAATTGCTTTTCTGTTGAACCACCTTTGTATGCGATCACTTCGTCTTTGTACAGATTTCTAATATACCAATTTAATATGGGGATGATGTTCTCTTGTTTGTAGGCACATTTTAATTCTTCGGTCACATCAAAATATGGAATGCCGTGCACGTGTGTTTCACAATAACGAACAGTTTTTTTTGTCTTTTGGTGACAAATAATTGAAAGGATAACTTGGCCGAAACAAATAATGATCGATAAACGCATCATTTTTATTAGATAGTTTTGCGTCTAGAATAGCCATTTCTCTACATTGAAAATGTTTATGAAGATATGTAATGTAAAATCCGTCCATGTCGATGATGTATCTAATATTTTTTAGATTTTGTGTCATTTTGAACCAAAATGTTAAAAGTATTTACACGTGACTAAAAATATGTTTGTTCCAACAAACTTCACATAACAATGCTTCATTACTTCCCATCATCCCATTTCTTCCTTCTGCTCTTGTCTTCCTGTAATTTAAGTAAACAGAATCACATTCACTAATGATCAACTAATGACTGTCATTGTTAAAAAAAAGTATTTTTTAACTACTCTAGTATGCGTAAATGCGGTACACACACAATATTTAAATATAATTTGTTAACACTAAATCATACACACGTAAGAAAATAACAGAAAGAAAAGTAAGTTTTTCAATAGAATAAATACTTAAAATTGCAATTAACAATTTAATTGGTGCCGGCGGGGATCGAACCCGGGTCGCGTACTGTGAAATTTACAGCTTGCGCTAACCATCTGAGCTACCACGGCTTAATCATATACACACACAATATTTAAATATAATTTGTTAACACTAAATCATACACACGTAAGAAAATAACAGAAAGAAAAGTAACTTTGTCAATAGAATAAACACTTACATCCATGGCCTTTGATGCGTTGAAGTAACACAAATGTAGTATTGATAGATCCACTGCGGTCAAACGACCATACACTAACTACATGACTGCAGTTGCTTGGTCTTATATAGTACCAGTAAGTAATAATTCTAATCTAAAGAATTTCTACAGTGGAATTGATAGTAACTTTATGCGTCAACAAGCTTATCTCACATTCTGTTGCTTATTTCAGTATTACTTCGTATTGCGACTTGTTCAGTGTATTGATGACTCAAATACGTTTTGTATAATACAAAATAATGCAGTTTAATATTTAGAAATCATTTTAATTGATCATTCCTATGTTAGTCGTTGAGTAGATTGTACTGTAATAATCTACTAATAGCAGTAATATCATGGATACACTAGATGTACAACAACATCTGAAAAAGATTCACTCCAGTCTAGAAAATAATGTTTATGCTGCTAATAGACTGCCCATGTACACCCACGTACCAACGTATATAATATGCAATTTGGATACAGATGATAAACCAGGGTCACATTGGGTAGCTTTATATATCGATACGAATGACGTCGGTCAATATTTTGATTCATACGGACGAGCACCTGTACGATATCATCTAGAGTTTTTAAAAAGGAATTGTAAACGATGGAACTGGAATGTTGATAGGATTCAGAACGAGTGGACTTCAGTTTGTGGTGAATATTGCTTAATGTATTTGCTATATAAGTTTCAGGGATGTTTAATGCATAGTTTTACGAATATATTTACAGGGAACACATTGTACAACGATATTTTAGTGGATGAGATGTTTCGCTTCTATTTTATAGATAAAGAATATTAAATAAAAGTAGTAATAAGATTTTGTATTTCGTAAATAAAAATTGTAACAAAATTAGGTAATATATTTTATTGATGATTCAGATTAGCGTTGCAGTTAGGAACAAAGGACTATAATATAATAGCACTGATAATCCGATGCACACGTCGAGGAAGAATAGATAATGACGGTATTCAATGAACAATAGATAAATAGATAAGAACAATTGTGTGCTAATGACTGTGGAGGCCCTCACCGGATATCAATTTTTTTTAGGATCGTGAGTCTCGACGAACGTTGTACCACTTCTGACTCAGTGAGCCAGAACTGGTACTACCTATCAACTCCTTATAACTACAGAAACAAAATGTTTGAAAACAAATTTGTATATATATATATATATATATATATATATATATATATATATATATATATTGTCATGTTGAAAGATAAGTTTGAATATCTGTTGAAAATTTTACAGTTTTTGTGAGTGCGAACGCCACCATCAATAAAACATGTTGTGTGATTTATTTAATGCGATTTGTTTCAAAACATTACGTGTTGGATGTTTCTCAGTGCAAACGAACTGTTAGGAAGACGCAGCTGCCCATCTCCTGGTTTATTTCTCTGTGTCGCCTCTTACGACACCTATTGGACGATTTAGAATAGCGATTATGTATATACGAGTATACAGTAATCTATGGTGAATACTCTCACACCATCACTACACGGTCAAACTGTGACACTCATCTATTTATATCGAACATGACATGTTTTACTATAATATGAAATAGAAATGAACGGCCTTGATCATAAATAACATAATAATAAAATCGAAGTTTATTTATGAAATTATTAAAGTTTGTTACTTCCGTCTTTTCTTTATAGAGATACTTAAACCCAATTTTAACAAGTTTTAATTAACGATTATTAGTAAAGATGCAAATTTCCAATAAAAATAAAATAAAATAAACTTCACCATAGTACTACCGCCACCAGACAGTCAGAAAGACAGCGTGTATCAAACTACAGATATAGTAAAATGAAATCGCAACTCTTCCTATAAAAAACAGAGCAGCAATATGCCGCGATTTCATTCTGATATTATGTGTGAGCGTGGTTCTCGCATTTGAAAGGTGACAATATTTTTTTTATAAAATATGTGTGACAAACCGGCACACAATCCACCTGATGGTAAGTGAATTCTGTGACCCATAGACATCTACCTCTACATTTACACTCCATTAAGAATCATAATGCGGATGAACTATCATCCCTCAGGACTAAGATTAAATGCTTCGGTTAGTACTCAGTTAACATCAGGTGGACTGTGAGCTCGTTTGTTACCATATTTTTGCACGCATCTTGTTGCAGTTATAATACAGTTTCAGGCATCTCCCAAGGAATGACAAAAAGCACAATCCCCCTCTAATCCAACGACTTCCTGTAAGTCTTATCTTGTCACTCCATCTAGTGAGAGGCCACCAAAACATGTCTAACTAGACCTTTTCATTGCTAGCTAGAGTCAGAAACAAACATATTTTTATTTAGCCTTTATAATTATTATAGTAACCCTCACTGCAAGGGAGAGAGCTCACCTTTTCATTGCCGTCACAAAGGCTTCCCTTATTTCAGTCTCGCTCTGCCGCACGCACGCTTGGTATAAAAGTATCATCAGACGTTTCTTGATGGGGGCTGTCTGCTTGTCGACGGCGGCCTTAGCTCGCTGGTACAGCTCTTGAGGGAACTCTGATATGTGCCTGTCGGTTAGCGACTGCAAAATAAAATATCATTCGAATAGCTCGCAACATAATATAACTTTTTTCTTTGTCATCATCAGCCCATATTAGTCTGGACACAGACGTCTACCATTGTCGGTAGGGTTTCTTTAGAGTTAACATTTTGTGCTATTTTTATCTCAATATGTACAACAATGTATGAGGAGATATTTGACGGACGGACGGTTCTAATACGGCAAGATCATTTGTATTTTGTATAGCTTGTAAATATTTGTTTGTTTAGTTAGTACATACTTTTACAACAAAGTCGCAGAAAATATGCAGGGCCGATCTATGAAAAAGTTTAAAATTTTTATTAATCAATTATTATGTAATAAGGATTGTTATACTACTAAACCCTATAACCCCTGGGTATGAGGTAATCGCTAACATGCCGTTTCTAATTATATATATATATATATATATATATATATATATATATATATATATATATAATATTAGCGGTGCCGTGGTAGCTCAGATGCTAGCGCTCACTGTAAATTTCATAGTACGCGAACAACCCGGGTTCGATACCCGCCGGCACCAATGAAATTGTTACTCGGCATTTTAAGTGCTGCATAGAAAGAAAACATTACGTAGACATGTGAAGTTCCCCAACAAGCATTTGGGCAGCGCGGCGAACTCTTCCTTGCCCTAAAATCCTCTCAAAAATGAGAGGAGGTCTGTGCGCAGCAGTGGGACGTATATAGGCTGTTACTTTAACTTTTACCTAGAAAATGGTAATTCCCATTGATCTTCTTACGGCACCCACGGGACACAAGGGAGTTATGGATTTTCTTACGCTGCCACCACACGGTAATGACTAATACATATAAACACAATATTGATTATTTTAAACGGATCATAGCCATGGTTAACTATGACATTAAATGCCCTGTGGCCATAGGTGCAGCAAAGTACTAAAACCATCGTAAATATAAGACAAGTGAAATATCTATCACAAATTTACGTAGTAGAGCCATGCTACAGTTATATTTGTAGTATAGTTGTAGCACGAATGGGTCGGCTCGACCGGGGAAGGACCACGCTCTCACAGAATACGAGCGTGAAATAGTAGCTTAATGCTGCTGTGTTTCGTATGGTGAGTGTAGAGACCCTTTTTACTGGAAACGAGGCATTGCATCTAAGTCCTCACGGGTGACAACGCATCTGCATTTAGATTCGTAATCGAGGATAGATGTAGATGTCTATGGGCCACAGCAACCACTTACCATCAGGACTGTGTGCTCGTTTGTCACACTATCCAATAAAAAAAAATCTAGTATAATTTTACCAAAAATATATTTCAGGCTTTGCAGTTTTATACTCTACCGTGGTCATGTAATATTGTATCCTCTCCAATTCTTTAGGGTGTATATATTTAAAATGCTCCTCCTTTGTGATCTTCAACATTTCGGCCTTTTGCTCGTCAGGATCACGTGGAAGTTCAAATGCCAATCTCGCTAAATGCCTTTCAACAAAAGATTTTTATTTATGAACGAAGCAAACAGACACGGCGATGTATTTTTTTTAATAAAATATTACAATTAATCAAATTAGTAAGTGGCCATTGCAGTCCGTGGACAACTGTAAACAACTTCAAAAAGAAGAAAATTAAAGATGCGTTGTCACCTCCAAATACTAAGATGGAATGCCGCGCAGCCTGTAACTAAACTGACTCTCTATACCCTTCAGACAAGAACACAGAAATGCAAGCACTGATGTTTGACGGCAGAAAAAGGTAGGAAGAGCCCTACCACATAATATTAATATAAGTAAGGAGCTATTTAGACGGATTGTTTCATCACCCTAAAGACAATACACTCGTATCTCTAAAAATAAATTTGAGTGTTTATGTCGCAGTAAGATGGTTAAAACCGTGATATAGTTATATCCCCAGGGATATAGCTACAGACCGTAATATAGTTCTATTACAGCGGTTCTTAACTATCTTACTAGACTAATCTAGTGAAATAATTATAGTTGTAAACTGAATATCCCGTAGATTCAGTTTAGGTAGCACAATCGTATAGGAAATGATCATGTTATTTGTGGAGTATCGTGATGCGTTAAAGGTTACTGATCGCAACTGTTGTGCAACTAATGTAACAGTAAAAAAATATTCAGGACTAAAGATGTAAATTTGAAGGCAACTTAAAAATATCGGCTGAAAAAATTAAAAAGTAAAGAGTACTCCAACTAATTTCGCGACATTGATATTGAATCTTCTGTTCCCGTTGTATTGTTGTTCACGTTAATTTTTAACAGTAGATCTAAGATGCGGTTGGTGTTGCCCTTGGGCAACCCTACAGCCGGGTACTTTATAATTATAAAAAATATAATATTCAAATAATTAAAAAATACATAATTTTAAAATTCAAAAAGAATAAGTCAAAAGTAGTTTTGACTAACATTTTTAGTTAACGTATGCTTATAATTATTTCCCTAAATTTGTGTAGTGAGATAGTTATATCACTAGATCGAGCTCGTATCGCAGTTACATTCACATATAGCTATATACTTAGGGATATAACTATATCACGGCTTCAGCAATCTTACTGCGACATGATTAACATTAAGTCACCATATAGTATCCCTTGTCGTAAGACAACAGAGGGAAATAAATCAGCAATCGTCTCCCTTATAACGACTCAAAACTATAAAAAAAAACGATTGCTGGCCCGCGTGGCAACTGTGGCAAATATCCTCCCTATGAGGCAATCTATGGAAGTCCTATGTTCATCAGCGGACTTTGATAAGCTCGAACGGTAACTGTAAACTTGATGTAGTACATAAATAACACAATTAATAAGAGACAGTGTACTTCTTTAATGCCTCCTGCGCTGCTATTTCTGCAGCTTCCTTCTCCTGACGCTTCTTCTCAATTCGTCTCCTTTTCGCTTCTGCTGCTGCAGCCTTTCTTCTTTCATACGCACCAGATACTAAGTCCTCTAATAGTACATGTCCTGTGACAGAGGAAACCTTTCAGTTTAATTTAATTAATGCGTAACCGTAAATTAGCTACGCCTATAATTATTTTAATATGGAATAAGGGTAACAATCGAACAGACGGTCCACCTGATAGTAAGTGATAGCTGTGGTCCATAGACGTCTACACTTATCCTCGATCGAAAAATCATTCTTTTTGACTAAGATGAAATGCCTCGTTTCCAGTAAAAATAGTCTCTACAGTCACCATACGAAACGCAGCAGCTACCCATTAGTGCTACAACAAAAATGTTACGAGCTAGGGGTTCGAGACAATTAAAAACTGCCGAATGAATTACCAAAATTGACACTTTAATTACAGAACACCAATTACAACTAAAAACCACTTATAACAAAACACAAATGTACTACTGATCACTTTTGTTGGCAGTTGAATCGCTTCGAAGTATTCGCTTGTATTGCTAATTTAACACTGACTCGGGTCGCGGTCTATACCAGCCTTATATAAGGCCTCAGGATCTTGATTCTCCTAGTTCTGCTACTCGATAATAGAAGACGCTAGTGGCACTATTGTCGCTATGTACCAGGCATTGTGGCGCGTAACAATATTGTAGCTGCAGGGTAATCCTACCACGTAAAACGTAATATAAGCGTTGCACTTATAGTATGAATTGTTATTGTTTTTTTTTTTAAGAAAAAATGTGACTAATGAGCACACACGTGGTAAGTGAAAGCTGTGGCCCATTCTGATCTTTATCTATCTAATAATTGATGAAAAAGAATGAAATTCTAGATGCATTCTCATCTTTAAAGACTATAATAGAATAATTTGTTACCAGTAAAACTAGTCACCTGTTCTCTAATACTTATTATACGAAACACAGTAGCATTAAGCGCTCGTTTTCTGTGAAAGCTTTCCCCAGTCGAATAGACCAATTTATAATAAGTAATATATATATATATATATATATATATATATATATATATATATATATATATATATATATATATATATATCGCAGTGTAGTGGCGGCGTAAGAAAACCTATAATATCGTAAGTGGCGATACTGGGAAAAACAAACAGGAGATAAACGAACTGTAATATTGATGATGAATTATTTATCAATAGGAGAGAATAGATTACTATACAGATTAAATAATCATGAATAATTTATTATATACAAACATTAAAATTAATTTATACTTTTCCCTGAACCACCTCCGTCGTGAAAAACCAGCAAGAAACCCATCAGAAATTTTTAATAATGTATATTTACAGAAGTTTATTTTATAAAGTAGACATATAGTGGTGACCTTTTTTACCGTCTTGAAAAAATTGGGTGTAACATGTGAACAGAGTAGAAGCCTATGGCATTGATATTTTACAAAAAAAAAAAAATAGAAATATTTTTTTTAAATAAGTTTGAAAAAAAAATTGAACAATAACTTTGCCCTTTGCCCTTGAGCCTGTGACCCTGCGAAGTGACATGATGTGTGGTGTGGTTATGATTTGAATTTCATTGATTTTAATGTATTTATTTATTTAATTCAAAAATTTTGTTTTTATTTTTTGTAAACTATCAGTCCTATAGGCTTCTACTCCGCTCCGTTCACATGTTACACCCTTTTTTTTTCAGATGGTAAAAACGGTCATCCAGTACATTAACAATATTTATAAATACACTATGTAGTAGCGGCGTAAGAATATCAACTACCCCATATCATCCCGTGGGTGTCGTAAGAGGGAAACCAAAACAGGAGATGGATAGCAACATTTTCTAATAACAACTTTCAAAATAAAACTGCGGTTACCAAGCCTTGTGAGCGGCATGACGTGGCAACTAGCGGCATGACGTGGCAGCTATGGCAAAATGAGATGAGACAATCTATGAGGGAGACCTATGTTCAGCAAAAGACTTTTGTGAATGAAACTTAAACTATAGTGAATGAATGAATGAATAATCTGCATAAGACTTTGAATGGTTTTATCACTCAAGACATAACAAGCCGATAAATTCGGTACTTAATTAAATATTCACCATAAAAACGACCATTTTAACATATTAAAATAAATTTAATAAATCGAAACAACAAACTTATATTTAGATAAGTAATACCTTTGGGTAGCTTTTTCTTCTCCTGCTGCTTTTTAAGAGCCTCCAACTTCTCCTTCTCTCTTTCAGCCCAAGGCTTTAGCGGTGGGAACTGCAGCTCACCGTTTGGTCCAATAGGTCCGTACAAATCAGGTGGAGCGCGGCGTTTTGGTGGCATGTTGATGCCACGCATAGTTTTAGTTGTAACCGAATAGCAATTTCCTAAACAATACACAGAAATTATATATATATAAGGATATTCGCAATAGACCCAGAGTAACCGACATATCCCAACATATCAGTAATCTATAGTTCATAAAAGATAGCTTGATCTCTGCGACAGCTGTCAGTAAAATCACGCCTATGAAATCTTGAATTTCTTAGTAGTACAGACAGTACCTGTCAATGTCATACTTTATGGGCATGCCGACCTAATTAGTGCATGCCCATAAAGTATGACATTGACAGGTAACTGTACTACTAAGAAATTCAGGACTTCATAGGCGTGATTTTTACTGACAGACGTCGCAGAGATCAAGCTATCTTTTATGAACCATAAAGTGGCAATTGGCCGGCCACATAGCACAAAAAACCGACCACTGATAGGGAAGAAAGGTTCTTGAGTAACAGCCAGTGAAGGGCGATCCCTTACTAAATGGCATGACGACCTGGTAAGACATGCAGGATGGATCCAGGTGGCTGATGACCGTAAATTGTGACATTCCTTGGGGGAGCCCTATTTTTAGCAATGGACTTGTGAAGGGCTGTAATGATGAATGTGATGACAGAAAGAACACGACAACTCATATTATGGTTGTTAGACTAATTTACGTATGGACTAATTTACCTAACGATAATTAAATCTCGGTTACTCTCATTATAAACATTGCCTTGCAAAAAAATAATTACATTAAAAAAATATCTGAAGTAAGTGCTAAATCTATAAGCATAATATATAGTGCTAAATCTATAATAAATAAAATTAGTGTTTATACTCGTATTTCTTTTAAATATTTTCTAAATAATAAAATTTACAATAAATTTTAAAGTGTTATGAAGCGCTCCGTACACTTTCAAGTGACGAAAAAGCCAAGCCAAAAGCCAAAATCACATTCAACCTATTTTAAGAACACTCACTACTAAAAGTAAACGTAATTGTATATCTTGTATAAATATATCTCTTAATAATTTGTTAAGCACCGTACTGTGTACTATACCTACTGTCTTTATATAATTAACAATCATCATCATCATCATCATTACAGCCTTTCACAAGTCCACTGCTGAACATAGGCCTCCCCCAAGTAATGCCACAAAGCACGGCCCTGAGCCACCTGCATCCATCGACTTCCTGCATGTCTTACCAGCTCGTCACTCCATCTAGTGGGGGGTCGCCCTACTAATTAACAATATATTTATTTAATTCAATTACCTACTTCAGTAAAATATAATTGAAATTAATTGCAGTAAAACATTTTTTTCGTCATAACATATCTGCGTTGCGTAAATTATATCACATCAAATGAATATAAATAATTGAATTAAAATTAATTCAATTTTAACTTTTACACAAGAAGTATATAATATGTACTTTTATAAGTATGCTCATATCTACTAAGTAATCTTGGGCCGGTTTCTATCATGTTTTCATAAACGACTGTACAGTGTACACAGCCGAATGGGAAAATCGGAAGAAAAATAATATACGAATTCCGATTATCGACCCCGTCTGGGGTGGTTAAACAAACACGCGATTCCGAGTATCCACCCTAGAGTGGATTTCTTAGGGTGGATAAACCGAATAACCCGACACAGGCCGCCTCTCAGTTCTGAGAGGGTTTCAGGGCAAGGAAAAGTCCACCGCGCTACCCCAATGCGTGTTGGTGAACTTTAAATGTCTTCGAAATTGTTTTTCTTGTAAATGTAATACCTCAACTTGAACAATATACATATATAATATCACTACAATGTGCAAAAAATGATTATTTATAAGTGATACAGATTTGTCGTTACCATACCTATAGAATCAGATGGTTTTGCGTGGTCGAATCCATCCTTGTACGGCACTCCCTTCGTCCAGGACTTGTGTAGCATGAGAGGAGGAAATTCACTACATCCTCCTTCACCTTCACCTGCATTTTTATGATGCGATTTGTAATTTTGTTTAACATAATAAATATAGTAAGAGGGCTCAGTTTCTACCCAGCAACTCCACCTCGAGTCTGCCAGTGCATCCAATGACGTATTCTCGTAATGGTAAAACAGGCTATGCCACATTTCATCTTGGTCGTCAGAGTGGTAAGCTTTAGACTTAGCATCAACCGTAAATTCCCAAGTACAAACCTGAGCTTGGTCACGTCTTATAGTATTTATAAGCATAGCTTGCTTATTTATACTCCTTACTTACACTATTACATTTATTTAAACTCTTATGAGACCCACATACAATGTCTACTTAATTGTTTTAACATAATTTCAGTTTTGTCATAAGATTTTAACTGTTAATGTTCAGTCCTTAAACATTAACATTTTTTAAAGATAAGGGCGACAAACGAGCACACAGTCCACCTGATGGTAAGTGGTTGCTGTGGCCCATAAACATCTACATCTATCCCCGATTGTAAATCGAAATGCAGATGCGGTGTCACCCGTGAGGACTAAGATAGCATGCCTCGTCTACAATAAAATCGGTCTGCGGTTTTATACACTCACCGTACGAAAGCAGCGTTGAGCTGCTATTTTACGCTGGTAATCTGTGAGAGCGTGGTCCTTCTCCGGTCAAGCCAATCCATTCGTGCTACAACTACACTATTAATGTAGCTACAGCATGGCTCTACCACGTAAAACGTCTTTTCGTGTTTTGATAACACATGTTAAGGATTTTATTAACTTTATTGATGGCCATACTGCGCAAGGCTGCCAACAGTGTGCCGCCAAATCGTGAAGCCGAAGATCCGAACTTATTATAAATCAGAGGACTTAATTTGTAATTTTTAAATCTGTGGTTGCCCTATTGTCCGCGTAGCATGGCAACTATGATAAAAGTTCACCCTTATGAGGCAATCTATGTAGAAAGGCTTATGCTGATGGATGGATGGAAAGGATCTATTTCTTAATGCATTCTTTTCGTGCCAGATTGTGTCACCCTGTTAAAATAACTTTGCTTAAGGCTGCTGTGTTTCGTATGGTGAGTGTAGAGAACCGGAGACCTTTTTTAATGAAAAAGAGGCATTCCATCTTAGTCCTCACGGGTGACAACACATCAGCATTTGGATTCGTGACAGAGGATTGATTTAGATTTCTATGGGCCACAGCAACCACTTACCATCAAGTGGACTATGTGCTCCTTTGTCACCCTTATCCTATTATTGAACAGTTAGATATCACCCTAACATCTACATCGTCAAAACAACATCATATCATATAATTTAGTTAGATATTGATGGGAAATTAATTTATAACTTAAAAATTTTAATAAAAATAATATAATATAATAAATAAACTACAAAAACACAAAAATAAATAAACAACACCAGACTGGTCACCACCCCTTTCTTGTCGACATACCACGCATTCGAGCCAAACACTTTGCCTCGTTGTTCATAATGTGTACAGGAGTGGAACAATTTGCCAGCATCTGTCTTTTCATCCGACTATAATGTGGACAAGGCAAGAGTGGACAGGCTTTTGTTGAGCTAAGTCAGTGCGCTTTACCACCCGTGGTTGCATCACTACTTACCATCAGGTAGGATAGTAGATAAGCAATTTCTTATAACATAAACTCTTGTTACCTTCCGGATAATAGTTGCTTGCTGCTCTCAATAAACTGCTATCCCTGTCTAATTCATGTGGCAGTCCAGCGCGCGGAAGTCCAGGCTGTGGCGGCGGCTTGTGAGCCGGCGGCGGCACAAACCGCGAATAGAACTTATCCCGCTTGTTGAGCTGCAGAGACCGTTTTCGATCACCGCTCGCCATTTCTGTGCTCATTTAAAAATATCAGGATAGCATCTAGCATCTTGTCAATTAATATATATAACTGTATTATATTGGTATTAGTTTACATATATTATACTTAGTCGGTCATAAGTTCTGTCAAAACCTTAGGTATCATTTAAAATTTTTGAATACTAGCTAGATGAACTTCACCAATTTTAAAAATATTACGTTTGCGCTTGCTGAAAAAAGACATAAATTTTCATTCATTTTCAAATATGGAGTGATTGAAGAAAGAAGATAGAGTAACGGTTATCGCGCGGCGCCGCTGTGGTTGCGCGCCAAAAGTTCACTGAAGATTCAAGCTTCGAAGATCGTAAGAGGACCGGCCGACCTCGTACAGTTAGGAGACCCGCGATCATCAAAGCAGTGAAGGCGCGAATCCAACGAAATCCTGTTCGTAAACAAAAAATCTTAGCTCTTCAGTTGGGCCTACGCAGAACCACGGTCAAAAGAGTGATCAATAAAGACCTATGACTACGAGCTTATCGCAATAAGATCGGACATTTTTTAAACGAGTGTTTGAAAAAAATTAGAATTTTTTTACATCTAAGAAAATTATAAAAAACAAAATGATAAGGTGTATGCCCACAGTAATGAAGAAGCCAGCACGCGTATTTCGAGGGTTCAACGAGCAAATTATCCTTCGTCACTCATGGTTTGGCTTGGAGTCTCATATTCAGGCTTAACTGAGGTGATTTCCTGTGAAAAAAGTGTAAAAACCAGTGCCAAGGTGAACCAAAATACCGTCCTAACAAACATAGTGAAACCTCTTTCTCAATGTTCAATAACAGACATTGGATATTCCAACAGGACTCTGTACCAGCTCATAGGACACGAAGCACGCAAAACTATTTGACCGCTCATGGAATTGACTTTATCGGACATGATGACTGGCTCTCTTCTAGTCCAGATTTAAGCCCACTGATTTATAAGATATGGCAACATTTGGAAGAGAAAGTCTGTGTTCAACCTCATCAGAATTTGGAATCTCTCCGAGCATCTTTGGCTAAAGCTGTGGCAGAAATAGATATGAGTGTGGTGCTTGCTGCGACTGATGATTGGTCGCGTCGATTAAGGGTATGTATTCAAAATAGGGGAGGGCATTTTGAATAATGTAAATAAAATTGTATTCTAAATTAAATTACCTTTCATCTCACATATAATTACTATATAATTATCAAAAAGTGTATCATTAATTTTATAAAAAGTTTTTTACAGAACTTATGACCTGACTAAGTGATTATCGTATATATTATTTTTTTATATTATTTATTCATTAGTCTGTTAGAAGTTTAGAAGATATTATATTGGTAGAGCTACGCTGCAGCTATATTATGGTTGTAGCACGAATGTGTCGGCTCAAACGGGGAAGGACCACGCTCTTACAGAATACCAACGTAAAATAGCAGCTGTGCTTTTTATGGTGAGTATATTTTTATGAAAACCGGAGACCCGTTTTACTGGAATCGAGGCATTCCACCTTAGTCCTCAAGGGTGACAATGCATCTGCATTTAGATTATAAATCGAGATTAAATGTAGATGTCTATGGGCCACAGCATCCACTTACCATCAGTTGGACTGTGTGCTCGTTTGTCACCCTTATCCTATATAAAAAAGTAAATTATGGAATAAGTAAAACTTTTAAGCAAACTCACTGTATGAATATTTCTGTATCTTGTTATGTGTACATAAATAAATAAAAAGATAGTGCCTTGACTGATCATAAATTTGTAACGGCGTAAGAAAAATCCAATACCCCATTCATTGCGTCCTGTGGGTGTCTTAAGAGACAACTGTTGCCAAAGCCAACAAATGTCATTGCTTTCGATAGATAGCTATATACCATCTTGTTTACGCCAGACTTAGAATAGGAACCCTACACCAAACTATACTAAAGAAGACAACAAACACTATCATTGAAGCCAACGTATAGTGGCGGTGTTAGAGTTTCCACAACCAAGTATCATCCCATGGATGTAGTAAGAGGCTACGAAAGGAAATGAAATAGGTGATGGACAACCGAATCGTCTGCATACCAACACAAAATAATAATAAAAACTGAATAGCGTAGCAACTATGGCTGGTACCGAAGCCTTTGTTCTTTTACTCGTTTTACATCGCTTGTTAATATTATCAGAGTATTAATTATACATATTTTCAGCATTGGACTTTTAATATACTGTAAAAAAGAATCATTACAACCAGTTTATAGCTGCCGTAGTATTCGCGTATCATAATTTCCCATTTTTTGAGGTCAGCTAAAAACTATTGAATTTCATTGTGTTTATTGACTTCTTATATTTACGCGAACACTACACATTGATTTTTTTTAAATATGTAGCGGCGCTGTCGTCGCCGCCACAAGCGAAAACACACCGAAGCCTAAATCGCGCTATCAACATTCCGAATCATAAACAGTATATATAGAACAAATCCGAACTATCACACGGAGTGTGAGCCGCTCCCCGGGCAGAACACCTTGGCCGGCGGGAGATCTCCCCTTTTCCTTCCACGGCCACAGTGGTGACCCCGACGTGATCTGAACACGCAACCAAACAACCTTCGGAAACTTCAAGCTTCATCATCGTCATATAATACCCCACCGTACCGCTCCCGAGCAGATATCGTCTGCAGTCTTCATATCCTGCAAGCCATCTAGCTTCACAAGGTTCATCGCAGCATTGGAATAATAATGCTTCCTGTTCCTTCAAGCTACTCTCTGTGCTATACAGTGTTCGGCACGGCTCTGAGCCTTACTGCTCGCCTCTGCTTCACGGCACTCTCGCAGATTACTTGCCTTCTTCTCGTCTCACCGCAGACTACAAGGCAATCCACTGGCACTTGCACATTCGTAGGCAACAAGGCTGCACTAACGACCTCCGGTCTGAGCAGGGGGTGATGTAGCGGCGCTGTCGTCGCCGCCACAAGCGAAAACACACCGAAGCCTAAATCGCGCTATCAACATTCCGAATCATAAACAGTATATATAGAACAAATCCGAACTATCACACGGAGTGTGAGCCGCTCCCCGGGCAGAACACCTTGCCCGGCGGGGAGATCTCCCCTTTTCCTTCCACGGCCACAAATATAATAAGGGTGATAAACGAGCACACAGTCAACCTGATTGTAAGTGGATTCTGTGGCCCATAGACATTTACATTTATCCTCGATTAAGAATCTAAACGCAGATGCGTTGTCACCGCTGAGGACTAAGATGGAATGCCTCGTTTCCAATAAAAAAGGGTCTCCGGATCTCTACACTCACCATACGAAACACAGCAGTATTAAGCTGCAATTTTACGCTGGTATTCTGTGAAAGCGTGGATCTTCCCCAATCGAGCCGAACCATTCGTGCTACAATCATTACATACCTGCAGCGTGACTACCACGTACAAATAAAACTATTTATACGGATTTTTTCGCGTTTAATTTTAACTTTTTTAATTCCCGACGTTTCACGCACTTTCCAGCGCCCATGGTCACGGGGGAGACTGAGTGTTTGACGTCCCCATGTCATAGTAATTTCATTGTGTTTGCAAATATAGATGTAGCACTATAATTTGAGTTTATTACCCGGCGTGCTAATAGTTAATTACAATTTTATTCGAGAAATGGTTGCTGTGACTTAATCCAGTTTGAGGTTATAATGTCTGTTGGTGGGTGTAGCAAAAAGCGACAGGGCGAAATTCAACAAGACAGCAGCATCGTCCTCATAACTGCGATTGCTATCTCAGCTACCAAGCGTGGGCAACATGGAAATATATTGATTTTATTTATTTAACTTTGTACAACATAATATATGATGTTTCTCTATGAAGCCTACGTTCCACAGTGTTCTTTTGAAAGGCTTTCATGATGAATCAAATGGTTCAGGACATGGATAACAAAATTTAAAACCTTTGTCCATTACTGCCATGTACTGTCCACTATTTCTTTTGTGTAAGTAACTTAGACGGCTGGCACGGTGGCGTGTGGCTAATTGTTTGGCTGTGGCGCTAGGGAATGTAGGTTTGAATCCCGCATGAAACAAGTGTTTATAAGTATTATAACTTTATTTGTAAAATAAGGATGACAAGCAAGCACACATTCCACCTCATATTAAGTGAATGCTGTGACCCACACCACCTAGGAATCAGAATGCACATGCGTTGTCACCACTGAAGTCTAACATGGAATGCGTCATTACCAGTAAAAAAGATCTAAGTTCTCTACACACTCACCACACAAAACACAACATTATTCTGCTGGTTTACGCAGCTATTTTGTGAGAGCGTAGTCCTACCCCAACTCTTACCCCTACAACTTCTTGCCTTCCTCTGGGCTTACTCCAACTGACCTATTCGTGCTGCAGTCATAATATAGTTTCAGTGTGGCTTAACTATGTAAACAAGAACATTTGCGCATCTGAACTTGATACTTAATACAGATCAAACGACTTAGTAAGTACTCCAACAATTTCTTGCGCTAAACAACGCAGGGAATAAACAGTCATCTTACGCTTGTCTCTTGACATGAGACTCGTCGGATAATAGGAACGAAAACTACTTTAATAACGCCGAGAACAGAACACTTGTAACAGCCCTTCACAAGTCCAGTGCTGAAGATGGGCCTCCCCAATGAACGTCACAAAATACGGTACATAGCACCTGCATTCGTCGACTTCTTGCATCTCTTACTGAGTGGGATCGCCTTACATTTCGTTTACGGATACGAGGCTGCCTCTCAAGAACCTTTCTTCCCCAACGGTTGTTGGTTCAGCTTATTGATACATGGTATTATAATATTATATGTAATATACAATTATATGTAATATATAATAATCATATCACATATAAATTACTCACTAGAAACTCCACGTATTAAAAATAATATTTCGTCATTTTACACCTCACTTACACGCTTTATAACAATAATGACATTAACGACGCATTTCCATGGCAACCACTTGGCAACCATCGATAGATTGCTATCTAGCTAC